TCCCACTTCCAACTCACATAAAATAAATGGTTAGGGATTTTGGGGACTCTGAATACTCTTGAATGGGACTAGTATAGACTGTGACTCCCTGAACTTGCTCACTTTTTACTTATTTCTAGTATCTTCTAGGATTTGTTATTCTATGAGTTGTGTTACAGGAAATACAAAACGTCCCATATTCCTTATAGGTCATCCTGTCTTAAATCAGAAACTATGGTGGGGAGAGACTTTCCCCTATCCAAAGGATGTTGCTTTTCCCTCTCTGCTTGTGGTACGACACCAGCTCTGATGTTTGTGAGTTAGGAGAGTAGTATCTTGACTCCAAGCATTCCACAGGTCTTATACGACTTTTACATGGAAATAATGAGGAAATTCATGCCAGTGGTCTTTGGAAAATCTGTTGGCACCACCAGATGCATCAGATAGATGAGTTAATCATAGATTTATAGTAATCTAGGTCCATGGAGCCTGATCTTGGAAGCTTTTTCAATTCCCTATGTTGTGCTGGAAATGACACTCCTAATCACTTTCTCTGGAAACAGCCTTGGCCTGTTTCTCTTGCATGGCAAGGCTTTAGCCTTGGCCAAGTACTTTTTTAAATGTTCTTTTTACCCCACCAGAGCAATAAAGAAGTTCAATTGTGTGGGGGTTTTTTTGCACTTAAAAAAATAAAAAATAAAACTAAATTAAAAAAAAAAAACGGCAGGAGACTGCACTTGTGAGGAATGTTCTCCTGATGTTCTGAGGTGTTCTTGCTTTTTACCCTAAGTCTTTTGGATCACCTTCTACCCGTTCTTGTTGTGTTTTATAGCAAATCCTTGGATGAAGATAGGTTGGGATAGATGTATTTCATTAATTTTTCTTATAGGGATATTTTTATTTGAACTCATTGTTAACATGTTTTGCTAGTTCTTTCAAGGTACTGCTTATCTCATTTGAGTGTATTGGTAGCCTCTTCTCTGAAGGAGTAGAGACAGTGGCATTTTCATTATCAAGATAAGTGTCCAAGAAAGCAAGTCAAGATTGAGGCATTCTTGTTTGTATAGAGGCACCCCTAGTTCTTCAAGAGGAAATGAGAAATTTCTTCTTCAGGGAATGTGTTGAGGACGGGAAGAAAACATTTCAGGCATTGATGGAGTAGAACTCCGATCTGAAGAGGAATTGGAGATCCTTCTGCTAACAGACATGAGGCTATACAAAGTGCCATATTGTATGGTTAGCTTTTCATTGACTTTGATAATTCTCTTTTCTCACCTTGTTTTCTCTCTACCCCTAAACCACAAATTCCAAAATGGAATCACGTTTCTCAGTGTGGTTAGAAAGTCACCTGTGTCCCAATTAACTGGCATTGCTGGTTTAATTCAGATACCTGGGCCCACCTCCCAGACTGAATTAGAATATTGCTGGAGGGGGGGCAGAAGGTGGGAGTCCTGAGAATCTACATTCTTTAAAGTCCTAGATGATTTTTCATGCATTTTACACTTGGAGCCAGAATCTTTGACATCGTCTTTATATCTTGACTATGAGGGCAAACTGCTTCCAAGCCTTCTCTTCTTGACAAACTGGATCATCCTTATCATTCTCACCAGCAGTGGCCAGCTGCAGACCCCTGCTGAGAAATTACAGTTACCACAACTTTCTAGATTTCTGGTGTCATTCCATCCTTCTAGAAGGAATCGAATTTTGTACCAAAACATGAAGTTTTCAGCGTTGGTGGCAACTGCTCTTTAAATAGCACCCCTAAACTTCTAGGAGCAAGATTCCTCTATACTTTCTTTGTGTGAGAGGTCAGAGTTCCCTGCCCAGAAGCATAGGCAAGAGGAAAGTTAGTTACTGTCCTGGAGCCCACAACCAAATTCCTGTAGTGTAATCCAACTGCAGATGGCAGGTCAGGGAGCTTGGGTGGGGTTGGGATGGCCCACATGCTTGTCCTGGGCAGACTCCTGTATAGCCCTGACTAGAATGGGCAGCAGAAGTTCCTGTTAACAGATGGAAAGGGTGTTTACCAGAGGCTCTAGCTTTCCTCAAGGATGCCTGAGCTGCTGTAAACCCCTGCTGCTATGGCTGGTGAGGCTGGCCAAGTCTCTTTCTGTTGACTCTTGTTTCCATCCCCCCCACCCCCCAACGCCTCTTCAGTCCTACAGATGCTGGTTTATTTGCACACTCTATGCTGATCTTGGATTGAAAGCTTCTCATTGTTTTTGAGTTCGGTGTTTAGATAACACCACCTGACTGTAGCAGCCAGAGCACCCTGTAAAGGAAATGCCTGGTCTCTAACAGTCCTGTCATTCATTCTGTGTATGTGAGTGAATGTGGTCTGTGTTTAGGACCATTATAAGGGCATTTCTCTGCAGAGATTACTAGTTGGGGCCTGCAGGGATGCCAGCCCCCAACTTGATGTCTGGAATTCTAGGGATGGTTTTCTAAAGTCTTCCCTTTTTCATTACAGTCCTAAAAGGATTACAGGTTGTTTTCCCCACGCCTTGTTTCTACACAGAGCTGCAGTACCAGAGCATTCCTTCCTTTGGTGAGAAGACTGCTTTGGGGGATACAGGACCTACTGGGTCTCTCTCTCCACCCCCAACCCACAAATTCCAAAATGGAATCATGTTTCTCACAGTGTGGTTTGAAAGTCACCTGTATCCCAATTAACTGATGTTGCTGGCTAAATTCAGATACCTGGGCCCACCTCCCAGATTGAATTAGAATATTGTTGGGGGGGCAGAAGGTGGGAATCCTGAGAATCTACATTTTTAAAAGTCCTAGATGATTTTTCATGCATCTTACACTCAGAGCTAGAATCTTTGACATCATCTTTATATCTTGTCTGTGAGGGCAAACTGCTTCCAAGCCTTCTCTTCTTAGCAAACTGGATCATCCTTATCATTCTTACCAGGAGTGGCCAGCTGCAGACCCCTGCTGAGAAACACCAGACCCCCTGGGGCTGGCGTTGGTCCAGGCTGTTTTTATGACCAAGCTAGGTTGGCAGCTACCGCTGTACTGTGGTTTCAGGGCTTCTCTTCCTGTAGGATAGCTCTTTTCTTGTCTGCTCAATTTTCCCTACCAGTCTTGGCAAAAAAAAGAAAATGCGTTATCTTCATTTGATATTAACTCTCTTCTGGTAATGTATAGCTCTTTTTTCACTTGATACAATGCATTAAAACTTCTTTAAAATGTTTCAAATAAATGTAATTTAAGTGTCTTGAGGCCCTTTTCAGGTCTGTGATTCTCTAAAATTTACAAACTTTTTTCTCTAAAACGACTGGGGTCACTACCTTTCCGTGACAATAATGTCTGCATGAGACAGAGAGAGTTAGTAGTTCTGATGTGGCATTTATTTCTACAGTGTCTCCAACATATATATTTAACTTCACTTTCCTACCAGTAATTCAGTGCTCCAAAAATTAATCCAAAATACAAAAGAAAACTTGGTTTTAACATGGACTGTGAGCAGTCATCCCTTTGTAATAAAATAATGATCCTGACTGCCTGAAAGATCACACTCACCACCCTCTATACCCTTTAAAAATTAGTATTATATATACTTATCAATGCTCATGGCCAGCTTGGTTCACTCTAATATTGAAATTACCTTTTGAGTCATCCAAAGAAATTATTTAGAACCATACTGTGTGACTTTTTAAAAAAAATGAGAATCTTATGAAACTGCAGAAGAATATTAGGTGAACCAGAACATAGTACTCTATAGTGAAGCTAGATAAATGAAGTTCTATGTATTACCCAAAGTATATTTTAAAGCTACATATAAACTTGTGGGGAATTGTAAAGGAAAACAAGTCATTATTCTTTTCTAATTGTTGCACTACTTGCTCTGCAGTTAAATTTAAGAATTGTCTTTAATAATTATTCTCAAGCCGGCCATGGTGGCTCACGCCTGTAATCCCAGAACTTTGGGAGGCTGAGGTGGGTAGATCACTTGTATTTTAGTAGAAACCCTGTCTCTACTAAAACTACAAAATTAGGTGGCGCATGCCTGTAATCCTAGCTACTCGGGAGGCTGAGGTGGGAGAATTGCTTGAACCTGGATGGGGGGAGATGCAGTGAGCTGAGATTGCACCATTATACTCCAGCCTGGGCAACAAGAGCCAAACTCCATCTCAAAAAAAAAAAAAAAACCCACAAAAAACCTTATTCTCTAATCATGCTATGTATAATATAAAAATTCTCTGTGAACAGATTAAAAATTCAAAACTAAGTAATAAAATTATTGAAAAATTATTTATTATAAACAATAAAGTTTTTAATTGTTCCTTTTTTGAGACAGTCTTGTTCTGTCACCCAGGCTGGAGTGCAGTGGTGCAACCATGGCTCACTGTAGCCTCAACCTCCTAGGCCCAAGTGATCCTCCCTCCTCAGCCTCCTGAGTAGCTGGGACCTACAGGCACATGTCACCATGCCTAGCTAATTTTTTAATTTTTTTGTAGAGACAAAGTCTCATTGCCAGGGCTGGTCTCAAACTCTTGGGCTCAAGTGATCCTCCTGCCTCAGACTCCCAAAGTGCTGGGATTATGGGCATGAACTGTTGCACCCAGGGTTACTTCAACTCATCCACTATTGCTTTTGCTGATATGAAGGACGAATATATTGCTTAAACACCATCCATGACTACCCAGTTAGAGTGGATACAACCCACTTCTCAGGGTCTTAATGAGTATGTTTTTGGTTGTACAGTTAGTTTGGGTAAACAGAATCATTATTTTAATATGTCTCTTCTTTCAACATGTTTTTGTTATCCGTTTCTTGTAAATTTACTGGTAATTCACCTTTTGGAGACTGTGAAAGAGAGCTGATAATTTAAGTAACTTGCTTTAAAGTAACCAAGGAGACATTGCTACCCTCATTATTCTAGCCACCGTATAGAAATATCCCTTTGCTGAAATTCAGCTCTACAAACTTAACAGGAGGTCCCAGGCAAACGTGTTTTTCATACTCTTGTCTAGCCTATCTCACGTCTGATTCCTGTGCCTTGTGCCTTCCAGTTCTCTCCTGCGCTATGGTGGAAACCTGTCCCTACAAAGTGCCATGAGTGTACGATTCAACAGCAATGGGACCCAGCTCCTGGCCCTGAGGCGGCGCCTGCCCCCTGTGCTCTATGACATCCACTCACGCCTGCCTGTGTTTCAGTTTGACAATCAGGGTTACTTCAACTCGTGCACTATGAAAAGCTGCTGTTTTGCAGGAGATCGTGACCAGGTAAGTGCTTTCTGCCTCCTGCGTCTCACACTCAGGCTTTTCTCCGTGATTGTTCTTTCTATACTGGTCTTTATTTCTCATTAGCTTCATGTCAGGTAGAAACAATTAAGGGGAAACAGTGAGTGCCTGGATATGTTCTGGCTTAATAATAGTGAGTTTTTTCATCAAGGCTGCCAATGGGTATATACAAGACACACACCATAAACCAAGGCTGGCCACGATATGGTTCTGAGCCACCTAGCTCTGCCAAGTTTGTGAACAGATTTTAAGATTCTAAGAATGTGCCATTTCAGAGAAAGGAGGGAATCCATGGAAAATTAGCCTGCTGGTGAGAGAGACATTAAAAAAAAAAAAAAAGAAATCGGTAAAACACAATGATGAATGAAACACCCTAAGTACCATCCAAGAGACATGTATCTTGAATGGCCTCTTGGGATGGCATCTTTTTCTTGGATGAAGTGGGCTAAGCAGCTTTGTCTGAGAGGGAGCCAGATGCTGACTCTTTTTCTTTTTACTGCCAGCATCACAACTGGAAATGGAGAGCCCAAGCTGTGAGTTTCCAGCCTTTTCTCGGTCTCACTAGGAATGGAGATGCTGATGTTGACTTCAAGCTGGCAGTTTAAGAATACTCTTGGCATTCTTGCACCTTTCTGTCTTGGCCATAGAAGTTCTGAAGTGTCAGTGACCAGTTAGGCTGCTCTGGGTAACCAAGCCGAGGAAAGACAAATCTAAGGAAAGCTTGATCAGATAAGCAAATATTCTCAAGCACAGCAAATCTTATTGATACTTCACATACAGATTGAGAAAAAGAGAAACCTTAGTCTCTTGGTAGTGCTTAGTGTTCTTATCTTTGGGCCAATCAGCTATGACAACTTTTGACGTACAATTCTCATATGCTGTACCCCATCTTAGAGTTATTTTTGGCATAAAAGAAATATAAAAGAGGCATAAAAGAAAAATTTCTTTGAGAAACTGGCAGGACCTTGCCTTCTGAAGTAAAAGCTAGGATTTTTCTCCCTAGATGGGGGTTGCTAGAGGCCTCCTAATGTCATAGTTTAAGGATTAATAGGTTTAGTAGGAACCGAATAAATGCCTGTTGAATTGACTTGCTTGTGATAGATGAGAATGTTTTTTTAAGTTTTCTGAACTAGGGATTTCCCCTCTTATAAACAGAGACTATACATCCAAATTCAGAATTTATACTCATGTTGGAGTCTTCTGACCCACTTAGCTGAGATCCATACTGGAGACCACTAGGTGGCCTCAGTGGTGTCTCCTTGGGGGGGCCACAGTGCCGGAATGACTGAATTTGTATATGCCTATATGGTACTGCAGGGAACTTGTTTCTTGGAAGGGAAGAAAGTTTCTAGAGGTGATCAGACTCACAATAGAACAGATAGGCAGAATGGTTAATTTAGCTTCGTCTGGCTGTGGAAATGACAATCAAGTCTCTCCCTCTCTTTCCTTCTTTGCCTTTGTTGATTTTCTATCTTTTATCAATTTCTTATGCATGTAATGCTTGTTTTGTTGAATAATGCAGTGAAGGTGATATTAATAGTTTATTAGGCTTTATTTCCAGAAACCAGAGGCTGAGGTAAAGGTGAAAGAGGTGATTTTCTTCAGGTTGTATTTAGCAACCAAAGCCTGTCTTCATGGACCTTAGAAGACCCAGAACAAAGACCTCTAGCCAACATGTAAGCACCTAGACCATGGTTTCCCATTCTTATCACTGTTGACATTTTGGCTAGATAGTTCTTTGTTGTGAGGGGCTGTCCTATGCATTGTAAGATGGTTAGCAGTATCCCTAGGCCTCTCCCTACTAGATGCCAGTAGTACCAACCTAATTAATCCACCAAACAACCAAAAATGTCTCCAGACATTGTCCCCTGGGGGAAAAATTGCCCCTGATTGAGAACCTGTGATCTGGATTACAATTGCCCATTTTGCTCAGATGCACTGGGGCAGGTATTGTCACAGGCAGAGTCGCAGAAGGTGTTTTGTGATAGTCCTAGGTATACATATAAAAGTTATCATTGTTTCTGCCTTTTAGTTTATATATAAGTATTGAATGGCTTTTGATTTTCTCTATTTAGATTTGACTAATTTATTATTTGTGACTTTTGTCCTATGGGAAGAGTTTAGGGGTATTTTATTCTCTCTGACAGACAAGACGACTTTTTGGTTGAGGTAAGTGTTTTTTCTTGAAGGAGGATGCAAAGTCATTGAATCTAACTTTGGATCCGTTAACAGAGTTAAAGTCTTAAAAGTCTGTTCATATTCCTGAAGTAGTTAGAGATATATAACTTAGGGTATAGGAAACACAGAGATTTATGTTTGGCTTTTTTGTTGACTCCTTAGGGACTAAGAAATGTAGCTAATTTATTATTGTCTTGTCTCCAAATCCTGGCACACAGTGAGAACACAATGAAAACTTATAGAAGTAAATCTTGAGTACTTTGGTCAATGTGTGGTATTTAGATTTGTGGGCCTAAGTCTTCTTTAACTGTAAATCAGGATTGAAAAGTATCATTTTTCCTGTTTAACTTCCAGGGGCCTTTAGGAGGATGAATTAAATAATGGATTTATAGTGAAACTAATCTACTGAACTTACAGTTTTTTTTAAGTCTTGCACAAGAGGTCAGACTTACTGTCCCAGTCCTAGAACATGTCTTAAAAGTGATTTATAGGCTCTGACTTTGCACACTCAGGGATAAGGCAGCAGTTTTCACGGTTACAGTATGACCTGCAGGACTGACATGTATATTCTTGGACGAGTCTAGACAGAATCTTTTTTTCTGCTTTCAATTTCCAAAGCCTGCCTTTTCCTTATATTGGGCTTTATATTTGACCTCATTCCTGTATGCTCTGAGAACACCCACTGCCTGAGGCTCTGGGTTCTGGAACTCTTCATTTAGTCATAGGCTGGGTAACCATCCCAGACAGGAATCTGAGAATTTCCATAATAGGAATGAACATGGATAAGAAAAGCTGTAAGAGATCCTATTTATCTGAGACAGTCACCTGGCTTTTAACTATGAAATTATTCAGTCTGCGCAGATGGACCCAGATACTGTTCGGAGTACCTGTCTTTCTTTGTAAACTATCCTAGGTTCAGTAGGTAATTCATTAGCCTCAAAATAAAATGAACATTTCAAGAAATTGGACTTGGAGAATAAAGTGTGAAACATCTGAGCCTCCTTTGTGTCTCCCTCATGCTCATAGCCACCACTGTAGATGAATTCTAATTATAGAGCTATTAGAGATCATTTTGTACAAACCTTTTCTTTTACAGATGAGTAAACTGAATCTCAGAGTGGTCACAAGTCACAACACATACAAGTTTGTAGGCAAACCAAGGCTAGAACCCAGAGTTTTGGGCTCTCAGTAGAGACCTTTTTTTCACTGTGCAAATGATCACAACTTGTTGTGGACAGAAGCAAGATTGGCAGCAAAACTAAGCGGATTGGCTGGGAGTAAACATTAAGGAGTGGCGGGGACTGTGGAGAGCCCCCATCCCGTCTAAATGAGTCAGCTTCTACACAGCTTTAGCCCATTGTTACCAGAGCCTCTGGTTTTTTTTTCAAGAGAAGACAGAAATAAAGTTTTTTATGTGAAGCCTCTTGGTTTTAAAATATCACAACAAATTCATACTTAATTGTATGTATAAAACAAATCTCTACACCATACCTATTCTGCTTTAGATCCATCCACCAGTTTGAAACCTCTGTGCTTCACTCAGCAAGATGTTTTTTCTCATGTTTAGTGTCATGGTCTGTCACTAACTTGTGGGTGAGTGGAGACAAGTTCCTTTTTCCTGCTTCCTACTGAATACTTCCCAACTTCATGGTTTTTTTTTCCCACTTCATCTTTTAAAATAAGAAAGCATATATTTACTGAGCATTTACTGTGTGCCTGATGCTGTGGTGGATACCGTCACATAACATTGCCAGGTCGTACCCTCTTTGAGATTTGCACTCAAAGCCCTGTATATAATATCTTCCCCCTTTTGGCTACAAATACATAGTTTGTTTAATTATTCAAGTTTCATAACTTCTAGCATCAGATCAGGTGACAGAAGTGACATCAGGCTGGCTGAGTATCAACAGAAGCAATTAGCCCTAACTAAAGGCTTACACTTTTTTTTTTTTTTTTGGCAGGGAGCGGGGTTAAAGCAAGCCTACCTTCTAGTCTTGCAATATAGTGGAGACTCTTGAAGTAAAACAGCATGCCTTTCCTTGGAGGCTGCCTGAGCCCAAAGGTTCTTCTTGCTTTCACTTCCTACTTGGATTTTTGCATTGTTTTCTCCCTGAAGCCTGACTGGGTACATTCTGTCTTCTAAGCTTCACACTCTTCTCTACAAACTCAGTCAGCCAGTCTCTTAATAGGGTTAAAAAAGAATGCCAGTGTTCTACCTGCTGGCTTTTCTGGCATGCACGTATAAGACAGCACTTGGCTTTTGTTCCTTCTCTTTCACAATTCCTTAAATGGTTCTTGTCCTAGATTGTGAGTCCAGTAGAATGGTTCAGGCTTCTGGGAAGTAAGTCTTTCAAGGTAGCAGGCATGTGTGCCTGGAAATGGACAATCTGATTAAAGTATTTTTTGCTTTAGTCTCATATGATGCCTGGCCTAATAGTCCTCTACATCTTGCTGAAAGCAGGATGTATATGAAAGGAGAAAGTATAATAAGATTTTCTTGAAAAGGCTGAGCCCTGGAGTACCTGAGCACTGAGATCTCTTATACTGATGTTTTGAACTTGATAGATGGCAAGGCCCAAAAAATTGTGATCATGAAATCGTCCTGTCCCATCCCCAGGAGGAAAGAGCTGACTTGTACCCTATGAATCCAACAAAATGGCCTTGAATAAATGGCCTGCCTCAGACATTACATCATCACTCAACCTCTCTGTGTTGATATTATATGGGTAGAGCTGAGGTGTGGAATGCACCAGTAAGTACTCTCTAGGCTAGAGAAGTGCCCTCTAAAGTTATAACTTTTCTTT